GATAATTATTTTCACTAATACATTCTTAATTATCTACTAATTACACCCCTCATAAATTACCGTGTCTACAGTGTAGCAGATACGGTATTTGGGACGGAGGGAGTACTATCTATAATATAATCTATCATCTACTATATAATATCTAGACCTGTCAAAACGGGTTAGTGGGACGGATTGGCCCACAACCCACCATAATTCCCAAATAAGCGGGTTTGCGGGCCAATCCGCAGCGGGGTGGATCAAAATTTTATCAGTCTAACCCAACCCACCGGCGAGTGGCGAGCTAAGCGGGCTAGCCCACGGACTTTTTAAAAATATTAAAAGAATATTAATATTATAAATATTTTCGTAATTAATATTTAAAAATAGTTAAAAATAGTTTTTATGTAGAATTTAAATAATAAATATTTTAAAATAAATAACAAATATAAAAATTCTCAATTCTAAATATTATTAATTGGTGTATTTAAAAAAATTAATAATAAGAAATACTTCATTTTAAAAATAATCATAATTAATTTTATGAATTTGTAAAATCATAAAATAATAAAATGGAAGACGAACAAAACAAATGATGAAAAATCGAAACAAATAACAATATTATGAATAACATAGTTAGAGAAAAAAAACAACACGTAGACAATGTTAATAATTTATTTAAACTAATGATAATATAAATTTTATTTTATTCGTCTTAACTTATTTATAATGGTATGTTTGTAATTTATAAAAAATTAAAATATATTTTTATATTAATATTTGATTAGTTTTATTATAATTTTTTAATATGACAGTACAAAATGATAAAAAAAAAATATATTTAGTTAAACGAGTGAGTACTAATTATTATGTCTATTTGACCTGCGAGCTAACCCGCCCCACTGCGGGCCAACCCACCCTCAACTCGCAGCCCATGCGGGTTGGGCCATTTAGATCCGCATTTTAACGGATTTAAAAAATCACAATCCAACCCTCCTTAAAAGTACAACGAGGCGGACCAACCCGACGGGCTCAGCCCATTTTGATGGCTCTAATAATATCTATCTTATATATATATATATATATTTTTTTTTATCCTAGATTCGAATCCGCCAGGTCGTCATCTTTTATTTTTTTATTTATTTTCTAAATTATTTTATGTGAATCTCTATTTAAAATAATAATAATAATAATAATAATAACCGGGATGAGAAATGGGGAAAGGCGGCTGGATTATTATTAGTCTATCTGTTCCGCTACAAATGACCCATTTTCATTTTTAATACATCATACGAAAGATGATCTATTTCTATTTTGGTAATTTTATCGATCTTAAATATATTTAACAAATATAAATCAATTTAATTAAACTTCTAACATCTTACCGGTACCCACTTAAAACCCCTTTATTTCTATCTCTATCCTGAATTAATATAATTTTTTATCTATATTTAAAACTCCTCATTTTTTATAAAATTAATTTATGGTAACGATTGTTTATTTGTATTATATAAAATTTTATTATCTACAAAATGATATCCATATTGCATATATTTTTTCGAGATATAATCTTAAAATTTTTTAAAATACCAATAATATTATTCATATAAAAAATAATAAATTAGTATCATAACTTATTATTAATAACTTACTAATTTACACTACCTAAAAAATTGTGTCCCTAATAAAAGGATTCATCCCTCGCCGGACAGAGGGAGTATTTATTTTATATACATATATATATATATATTTCTTTTTTTAGCTTAATAAATATAATTTATTATTATATAAATGATGTGTTAATTTATAGGATTTTGATTTTAATATATTATGAGAATTAATAATTTTATGTCAAATTTAATTAAAAAAATAAAAGAATATTTGGGGGCGTTTGTCAATTAACTATTTAATTGATAGCGGATACTATCAGTTTGTTTAATTTGTTGAACATATTAGCTATTTGAGCTAAAATTTTTGTTAAATAGTTATTTGATATTAGTTGTTTATACATAAAATAATAATTAAAACTATTTTATTTTTAAAATGGTTAGTTGCATTATCTCAATTTATAGAATTTTATTATTAGTTATTGAAAATTATAAAAAAAAAAAAAATTATCAAAATATTTGTTTTTACATTTTTTTTTCCCTTTTAACAAAATATTTTTAAAGAAAATGAATTTATTTCTATTAAAAAATAAGAATATATTTTTTCATTATAAATAGTGTAAAATATAAAAGAACAAATTATTCGCAAATATATTTTTATTAGGTTAATTGTTAATTATTTTTTATTAAGATTATAATTTTAAATAAATTTATTTTAATATAATGATCTTTAATGTAAAATAATAGATAATAAATAATAGGGTGAACTATTTTTTTAGTTCTGTAACTGGACCCCTTATCATTTTAGTTTCGTAATTGGAGCCTATCGCAAATTAGTCTTATAAGTGAAAAATTTTCGTTGTTTTAGTTCTCCGGCGCCGGAGATGTCTGCGTGGCTCGCCGGAGGTGTATTCTTATAATCTCTATATTTAATTCTTGATTGTGGCTAGCTCAAATTGCGAATGAATTTTATAATCTCTATTTTTAATTCTTAAAATTAAAAATAATGTTAATGCATTTTATATTTAGGAGGGTGTATTCAATATAAATTTTGTAGGATTTTGTTGGACTTTCAAAATCTGGTATATTCAATTCAGACTTTTAAAAATCTTTTTAAAATCCAGAGGTATTCAATCCAAGACTTTCAAAATCTGGGTGTATTCAAACTTTTATAAGTCTTTTAAAATATAGACTTTTAAAAGTCTTTTAAAATTTTGAAATATTCAACAATCCATAGACTTTGAAAGTATGTGGATTTTAATGGATTATAATGGATTTTTGTGAAAATTTTGTATAGAAAGAATCTCTCCTTGCTATCACAAATTTTGATGGATTCTTAAAATAATTTATTATTATTATTATTATTATTGTTGTTGTTGTTGTTGTAATATTTGTATATGTGATCAATAATATGATAATATTTATTATTATTATTATAATTTTTAATAAAAATAATAATTTAAAATTAAAATATATTAGCAAATTATTATGATTTATTTTAAAATATATATTTTTATATTATAAATATAATTTTAAAAAATATTATTATATTACTGTCGTCTTTTCTTTTCAATTATCAAATACACTATATTATCATTACGATAACGGTGAAATAGATATTTAAATATATATATTTTTGTTGAACCGTTAATTTATATTTATTTGTTTATTTTAATATTTTTTTCAAAAATCGTATATTATTTATTTATTTATTTTAATATAACCTTTTTAATAAAAAGTAAATACATATATATTATTTATTAATATTAAATATTATCTTATTAATAATTATTTATTATATTTATAAAATTTGTTGTTGATATAAATTTATATAATTAATATATATTTAAAAAAAATTATTTTACAATCCTACAAAATCTATATAAATCCATAAAGAATTCAATCAAATCCGTAGAAATTCATCTAAATCAATTACTAAAATCCATCAAACTCAACGTAGAGTCTGTGAATTTTCTAAATCCACATAAATCCATAGACTTTTTAAAATCCATTAAAATTCCAATTTAATACACTCCCCTTAATCTCAAAAAATAGCAAAATAATTTTTAAAAACATAGGAAAATAACTATTTCTACGTATATTTACTACTCTTTGAGACTAAATATAATAGATAACTATATTTATAATTTAAAAAATGGAGATTATAAAACACATTCGGAGTTTGAGTTCGTACATATCAAATACCGTTAAATAAGGACAATTGAGTAGGTTAGACGCATTATTTATGAAACATAATGAAATCTTATTTACTTTTAAAAGTATGAAAAATTTGACTAAACTTTACAATACTACATAAATTTTGTCCATTTTTACGAAAAATAAATAAAACTATTTATACCAAAATTTTGTATATACAAAAAATTTAATAGTTTTTTAATTATTTCTTTTACTATATACATAATTTTAAAATAAGTACATTATAATAAAAAAATTAAGGGGTGTGATGGGGTGGGGGCAGAGGGACTCCCCCTGCCCCTCTTAGTTCCTCCATTGGGGGCATTTGAATATTGGTGAACCACACGCGTGCATACCGCTCGTCCGGACCGGACACGAGAATAGTATCATGGGGCTTGGTAATTGCTTGATTTCACGAGGTCAAATTTTGCATTGTAGCACAATGTACCAATCAAGAATTCATTTTTCAATTGTCTTGAGACGATCGTTACTCACACCAGTTGTAATGCCCTCAGATTTGGGTCGGTGCTAAGCCAACTTTCGCCCGGTGTCAGGCTATTCGAGATTGAATAGTAATTAAATGGATTGAATGGACAACTAATATCAACAATATGCACATTTCTTTTGGGGAGTCTTAAAGAACTGCGTTGGAAGAACGTGTTGACTGGTCTAGAAAGTCTCACAAAGTGCGCGTGAGTGAAGAACAGAAGCGCGTTAGAATGACTCGTATTGATTATGGGACTAGTCGACATCCCAATACGTTCGACTTAGCATGGCTTGTGGATCCAAATGTCACACTAATTTCTATTTTTCCTTAAATGGATGTGTCTATAAAAGGTTTCTTTTATTCATATAAGATGCTACTCTTTATACAAACGAATATTGTTTTATCTCTAGGGTTAAAACGCTAGCTATAAAAAGCACCATTGAGACATAATCTAATTTGCAAAGAGAACGTTTTTCGACTCAATTTCATGGTCAATTTATTCATTTTAATTGTTTGAAAGTACCGTGTTTACTTGTGAGATTTTAGTTTTGGGTTTTGATTTTGAATAGTAAAATTTTGAATTGAAATAGTTGTTTGATGTAATATAAATATGTGTTGATGTGATATTTTGGATGTAAAATTAGATTTTAGTGTAATAAAATAAATAAAAATTGAGTGTTTGATTTAATATTTTTAGAGGAAAAAAAAATTGAAATAGTAAAATCAGATGTAAAACCTGACAAGTGAATTTTAAAACACAACAAAGTACAAAATTTCAACCATTGATAAGTAAACCTTATTAAATGTTTGAAAGTAAAGAGAGTCTCTAAAACCAACGGTAAATTCAGCCAACTATTCCAATCCGATGTTTTTCAAAACATCTTGGAAGAAGTCCTTTTGCCAAGTCCACGACGACCCGCCTTCCTTCAAAACCTCACGGCTCTTCTTCTGCATCTCCTTCACTTTCCCCCTCACGCCGCTCTCTGCCGCCATCACCCGCCGGATCGCCGCCTCAATATCCTCCGCCGGGACAATCTCCGGCGCCGGTTCCTGCCCACTCACATCTAACTTGTAATCAATCTTGATCTCTTCCGCCATCCCCAATGTCCTCACCAGCTCGAACGCATTTAACTGCTGCTCCGCGTACAGCGGCAGAGCCGCCACCGGAACGCCGTGCCACACGCTCTCCAACACCGAGTTCCAGCCGCAGTGCGACACGAATCCCCCCACCGCCCTGTGCGCCAGCACCGCCGCCTGCGGGGCCCACCCGAGGACCCGCCCCCGTCCCGCCGTCCGCTCCAAAAAACCCTCCGGCAGAACCTCGCCGTAGTCTCCGTACTCGGCTGGCAGCAACGACGACGTCGGCTTCCGCAGCGACCACACGAACCTGCTTCCAGAATCTTCCAGAGCCTTGGCGAATTCCTTAACCTGAGCTCCATCGAATGCCCCCATCGTCCCGAAGCACAGGAACACCACCGACTCCTCCGGCTGATCGTCCAGCCACGTCATCAAATCGGTTACCGACGGATCGCTGGAGACAGCATTGTCCTTCAACATGGGTCCGATCGGGTAAACCTTGGGATAGTTATTGTAATGAGCGGACAGAGAATCAATGGCGTAGGATTCGAGTTCGTAGAATGTGTTGATGAGAACTCCTTTGGCGCCGGCGAATTTCCGGAAGTATTCGAACAAGAGATCTGCGACAGGGCTGCCGTCGATGAAATACAGAGGAAGTATTTTAGCGGGGAGAGGCTGAGAGGCACATCGTGAGGAGAGTTGTTTAGTGTCGGAATCTTTGAATTGTGTCAGGTCCTGATGTTGTTCGAATTTGAGTGAAATCATGTCGTACAACACGCCAAGACTGAATGCTCCCGCAGTGTAATACACGTAGGACGGAATGCTCAATTCTTCGCCAACCTATATATACGGAATGATTATTTGTTTGAATGTAAATTTGATTTTTAGTATAATATAAAAAATATATATATATATATAAATAGTGGAAGTCTTTCCAAATCCTCTAAACAAACACACCCTATCTTATACAAATATTTGTATGTACTCATTTGATCGGACACGAATTTTAATAAAATTGAGTAATAATTATTATTATTCTTTTAATAATAAGAAAAAATATAAAAGTATAATGATTTTTTATTTAAAAAATAATTAAAAATATTTTTTTTATGACAACCTAAAATAAAAAAATGAGTATAGATTAGAACGAGGAGGAGAGTAATAAAAACTTAATCTAAACTATCAACTTCATTAACAATATCTCAACCATGAATAAATGAAAATAGGATAGGGTTATTAATGCAAAAATATCAACCTGTATTTATTGCTACTATATTAAAATTTATTTTAATACTATTATTTATAAAGTCATTTATTTTTAAAAAATTATTTATTAAATCTATATCTTTTATTTAGAATAGTCCGTCCATCTGGAATACGGTGCAACATTTATTTTCAGTACAGAAATTTAAATGTGTAATATTAAATAATATAATTTGAAAATTAAGTGATATGATGAGAGATAAATATATATTTATTTGAGTGATGTGACGAGATAAAATGTAAGATAAAAATTAAATATATTTAATTATTTCATATTTTAAAATATATTCCAAAATATTTGAAAGACCAAAGAATAAAATGTCACAGGGTATTTGAAACGAGTCGTTTTATAGTAGAAAACATTAATCAAGTAAACATGACTCACTAACATGAATTCTAGCATTTATACATGCTTTCTGATATAGTTTTTGAAGTTTTCAATTTTAGAAAGTTGGAAATTTATATGTGTATTTTCATAAAATCTAGGATTATTTCTATCAAATAGATATTTGTCCTTACAAAATCTAATATTAAATACTTAATTTTTTATTATTTCTGTAAGTATTTAAATTCCAAAACATTTATCTTAACAAAGAACTTATTTATTTTAATATGTATAATTTTAGTTATTTTTATTGTGATGTAATAAATTATGTGTTTTTATTGAATTTTAATATATATATATTTTTTATGAACCATGTTATTATTGTAACTAAAACATATTCAAAATTTTATAATTTTTAAATAAAAATAATTTTTTTCTGTAATACTCCCTTCTTCACATATAAGAAAGCAATATTTAAGTGAATAGAATAAAATGAAAATTGGGCGATGTTATCAGAGATAAAAGGGTATATTTATTTTTTTATTTGAGTGGTATATTACATAAAGTGTATTAATTATTTTTTATTTTGAAAATATTGACTAAAATAGAAAATATTGCAAAGTATATAATAAGGAAAGAGTATTATACTCTGTCTGTTCTATTAGAAGGTTATCATTTTTTATTTTCGTCCGTCCCATAACAAAGTTATCATTTTTTAATTTAGTAATTGTACTACCTACTTAATATAATAAATACCATTTCAATTTACAATATATTACACAAATGTCATTATTTTTATATTATACCATACTAATTGGAGTATTTTTGTCTTTTTTACTACAATTCAATATAATACTAATATTCAAAGTTTTACGTGCAAAAAGCAAACGACACCCTTCCAACGGGACGGAGGGAGTATAAGATAATATTTCATTCGATTCAACTCAATGTATTCATATATAAATATTAAAATACCTTTAAATTTTACAAAATTATTACTCTTTTTTTTGGTACTTGTAAAGCAAAAAAAAAAATATATTAATATCATATATTACACTTTCACCGATCAATAAAATATTATAATTAATTTGCTACCAAAAGAGAAGTGTATATTTGACTTGGGACATAGGAAATATATCATTAAATAGTAATATTAATAAGGGCATCTCCAATGCAACGTCAAAATTGACGTTGCAGCTCCATATTTGGAGATTAGTTTCTCCGATCAAACGCTATTTTTTACACTATTTTTTGTGTTTGCTAACACTGTAGCAACGCCATTTATGGTGTGTTTGTTTCATTTTTTAAAAAATATTTTTAATTTTTATAAATTGTAAATTGGTCCCTACAATAGACCAATTTGTAATTTTTTATATTTTTATTATTTATTTAGTAATTTAAATTTATAATTTAAATTATATTTTAAATATGATTAAATTTTACATTAAATAAATAAAATATTTGCAATAAAAAATTATAATTTATATTATAAATATATTATTAAGTAATAATAAAAAATATGTAAATAATAATAAAAATTGGGTGTGAATTGTAAATATAGAAAATTGTTTAAAATAATATATAAAAAAATATTTAGAGAATTTTTTTTTAAGTTGAAAATAAAGTTATGGATTGGAGTTAAATTACTGTGGCAAATGCATTAATTAATCCATGATGAAAATTGAAATAATAAAATATTTGTTTGGCTATGGTTTGAAATTGCTTTGAAATATATAATTAATTTGAATTTTTGTTTAAATAATATATATCAGTATATTTTTTACTATTTGAAACCAAAATCAATATTATTCTTTTGATACAATTTTCAATAAAAATATATTATTTTTTCTAACAAAACATCACATCAAATACTACTTAAATAATAATTCAAATCAACGCTCTATTTCAAATCAATTTCAAAGCATTAACAAACAAACGAAGTATTTTAATGTCATATTTTTTATATAAAAAAAAATTATAATATATTTTTATCAAAAATTACACATGAATAAAAAATGTGAATTTAAATTTAAAATAATAAAAAAATAAACTCAAAATAAAATTAATTATAAAATTAATTTCTCATGGTTCAATTATGGGGCATAAAAAAAAAAAGTCAACTTTCGGAATTAAAATAATAGCTCCTATCACTCCTATAGGTAAATCGTGTCACGTGATTTTTATTAGCTGTATCTTAATCATCTAAGATTTATTAATTTATTTTCTTATTAAATATTTCAAACTATGAAGATACGTTTATATATATATATATATATATATTTTAAAAGTTTTGATTTCATAGTACAACAATTCGTAAGTTTGTTTGGTTTGGTTTGGTTTTGATATTGAGCATTTTATTTGAATTTTTATTTAAAAATATTTCAATAAAATATTTTATTAGAAAAAATAATAATTCATCCGTCCCGGAACTATAGTCTTGGTTGTGTTGGGTACGAGATTTAAGAAATATTGATATTATATTGATAGTGAGTAAAAAGTATAGATAAAAAATATTTTTGTCATTGTGAGTGTATTAATGTAAAAAGTAGTGGCAATTTGTAATAATAATGAAAGAGTAAGAGTAATTATACAGTGATATAATTATTTATGGAAATAAGACTATTGTTTTGGGACGAACAAAAATAGTAAATAAGACTATTGTATTGGGACGAAGGGAGTATAATTTTATTAACATCATTCTAATCGAATAGTGTAACTTTAGTTTGGAATGCAAAATAAACACTTTGGAGGTATGGATTTTCAATACTCATTTTTTGAACGATATAAATAGGAGTTGATGTGATATTTTAAATTTAAATTAATTTTTAGTATTATATATTAATTTTTTAATTTTTTTTAAAAAGAAATTATAAATAATAAAAATATGATGAAATCATCCAAACAAACACATTCTATAAAACTTACAAAATTGAAAACATAACAGTGCAAAATCATAACACAAATTAAGCATATGAAGTGAACAAAATGGATTTGTTTTTGTTGCAGATTAAGAAATAGAGTTTGAAATTTTAAATAATAAAATTTTAATTAAATAATTATTTGATGTAACATAAATAATATTTATATGATATTTTTTGAATATAAAATTTATTTTTAATATAATACTCTCTCTCCGTCTCAGTTAATTGTCATATTTAGCTTAGATACAGAGTTTTAAATATTGTATAATTAGTAAATAATTAAGAAATTTATTAGTAAAAATAATTATAATTTAATAAAAATAATTATATTTTAAAATTAATATAATTAAATAATTTAATTACAATAAAAAAATTATAAAATTATGAATTTTAAAATATAATTTATGTATATAATTAGATTTTCTAAAATAAAAATAATAAATTACGTTAGACGAACAGAAATATAAATATAAGATAAATTAAATTAGACGGTGCAAGTATAAAAGATAAATATAAATATTTAATTTAATAGTTTGTTTTTTTTTTTATATATATATAAATAATAAATATGTAGATGAAAACCTATAACCAAGGGAACACGTTTCTCCATGCCCAATAAAAGATCATTTATATCAACCATATACACATTGGTATGTTTTTGTAAAAAAAATCAATGATTGAGTTTGATTGAGCTGTCTTCGTGTTTTTAATATAATATAAAAAATAGATAAAATATTTGTTTGAATAAAAAAGCATAAAATATTATATGTTTTATTTATTGCGTGAAATTCTATTGTATTAATATAAATTTGCACAAAATATCCTTCTTGTCCAAAACTGATATTTGATTCTCAATAAAGACCTAAATTACACATGTTTTACTTATGAGATTTTGGTTTTGAATAGTAAAATTTTGAATTGAAATAGTAGTTTGATGTAATATAAATATGTATTGATGTGATGTTTTAAATGTAAAATTTAATTTAATGTGATATAATAAATAAAAAAATAGGTGTTTGATTTGATGTTTTTTGGTGAAAAAAAATTAGAATAATAAAACAGAAAAAACAAATCTCACAAGTAAACACACACGTGATTTTTACAAAAATTATAAAAATAAATTATTGATCAATTATTTATTTTATTTAAAATATTTTTTATTTTTTATTTGTATAAAATTTGTATAATTTAAGTTTTTTTTACAATAAACAATCACTTTTGGATAATGAAAGTGATTCGTGCAAACTTTATATTAACACAAAAAAATTTTACGTAATAAATAAAATACAATGTATTTTATACATTTTTACTGAAACACAAATAAGATGTTATATAATTTACCCTAAAATATAAAAAATAAATATTTGATTTATTGATTTTGACGAAAATTTTTTGTATAAATAGTAAAAGTCCACCAAAGTTCTCGAAGAAACACATCCTTAATATATCTAAGGAACTGAATTATCAAAGACTACGAAAATACCTTAAAGTGAAATAATTTTTATACAAAAAATTGAATAAAAATTTTATTATAAATAATGGAAAAGATAAAACAACATATTTAAATATTTAGAAAAAATGAATTTGTTTGGTTAAGATTTGAAATAACAAACTTATTTGAATTTTTTTTAAATAATATTTTGACATCATATTTTACGATAAGAAATAATATATTTATATCGAAAAAATTCGTATAGAGTAAATAGTGTTGATTTCGATTTCAAATAAAAAAAAAAAGCAACAAATATCAAGATATTTAAAAGCTTTGATAGTATGCTAACCTGAATTAAATTCGTGCAAAACATGTCGAGGACAAGCCCGACTAGTCGGGAGCCGGGGACGGATGGCTTCTCGATCAAATCCGACAATAATTGCTTGATCTTGTCACCGCAACTAAGGATGTAAGTGAATCGGAAAGTTTGGGAGTCGGCGCCGGGGGCATTATGGTCAAAAGGCAAGTCGATGAATCGGAGGCGTGGGACTGCTGCTTTGATATCGGACAACATTTTGTCGGTTTTATCGTCTCCTTTCTCCGGTAGCCTCACGATTAGGACAGTGACGGCGAGGCGATCGCCGCCGCGGGCGAGGAGGAGCTTGGCGGCCTCGACGGTGGGGATGACGTGGCTCAGCCCCGGCGAGGGGATGAACACAAGCTCCACCGGTGATTCAGACATGTTTAGTCGGAGGTTGACTTTTATGGACTTGATGAGTTAAAGGAGAAGACACGAGAAGGGTATCGAAATAGAATGAGCGTACGTGTTCTACAACTATTTATAGTTGGCTTTACTTTAAGGTATGGGATTTATTTTAAATTATATTTTGCTCAATCTAATTCAAAATATCATTTTTATTATATTCGTTCATTTTATTCAAAATTAATTTCTTTTTTAGAAGTAATTATAGATTAATATTATAATAATCTTAATTTTTATTTAAATTATAAATATACATTATACATACAATTATTTTTTATATAAAAAGGGCAAGAATGTCAAAAACTCTTATTTTTATCCGTCCCACGTATTATGTCACTTTCCTCTCTTTGAAAAATAATTACACATTTTAATTTCATTTTAAACTTTTTAATTTTTTTAAAAATTTTAATTAAACTAATTAGTTATTTTAATCTTAATTTATAATTATTTATATTATATGATAATTATTTTCACTAATGCATTCTTAATTATCTACTAATTACACCCTCCTAAAATACCGTGTCTACAGTGTAGCAGACACAATATATGAGACGGAGATAGTATTATTTTTTAATTTATTACAAAACGAGCTCATTTGATCTGGGACAGAAGAAATATATATTTAGAGTTTGTTTGGTTGTAGTTTGAAATTAATATGAAATTTTATGTCAAATTTAAATTTTTATTTAAATAATATTCTGATATGATATTTTATAAAAAAAAATATAATATAGTTTTTGATTAAAAACTGTGCATAGTAAATAGTACTCTCTGTCCCTCCTTCCCATGACCATGGTACTAGATTTTGATAACGGATGGAGCATATTAATATACAAGTACAAATCAAAAGAAACAAAAAAAGAAAAACATCTATTAGTCTTTTATAATACAAATACGATAATATTTATGAAATAAATTATATAAATATAAAAATATTTTTAATATTAAATAGCAAAAAAATAAATAATTTCATTTTTATGCGACCAAGTATTAATTTGATTTTGAAAGTATATATAAAAAAAAAAATAGGCTTGAACTATTTTAGAATGATATCTATAGTTTTTCATTTAAAAATAAATAAATACAAAGTGGTGTGTTTTCTTGGTATCTTTGTTTCATTTTATTTACACTTTTAACTTAGTTAATTATTAGATTTTTTTAAAGAATTTTTGGCTTTGTTTGTTCGACAAGTTTTTTTTTTTTTTTTCGAGACCGATTTTTAATATATAATATATATATTATTTTATAAAAATTAATATTTAATATAAAATATTAATTTTATATTATTTACATAATTCTTCATATTTCTATATAAAAAAATATCTCTCAAATTAAAATATTAAACAAATAAACCTTGTGGTGTTTTTATTTTTATTTTTTTCGTTTGCAATTAAGTATTCAGTTTTTTTTAGTAATTGGACTAATTATCTAATATTATAAAATTCTTACTGTATATTAACACAAATATTATTACATTTATATTGCACAATACACATATTTTAGTTTTTTATTTTCTCATTGATTCTACTAAATACAAACATAATACTCCATTTGTCCCAATACAATAGTCTTGTTTACTATTTTTGTCCGTCCCAAAACAATAGTCTTATTTCCATAAATAATCATATCACTATATAACTACCCTTACTCTTTCACTATTATTACACAATTGCCACTACATTTTACACTAATACACTCACGAGGACAAAAATGTCTTTTATCTATACTTTTTACCCACCATCAATATAATATCAATAATCCTTAAATCTCGTGCCCAACACAACCAAGACTATTGTTCCGGAATGGAGGGAGTACTAATATTAAAAATTTACGTTAAAAAAATATCTTATTAGAAGACGGAAGGAGTATTAAAAATTGTTTTATATAAAAAATATTAAAAATATATTTTTTTCGTTAACATTTATTAAAAGTTGACAACAATTCAATTGTTCTTGGGCATAGTAGCATCCGAAATATTGGTGCTGCAATAGTTAGACGTGAGACTTATAAGATACGAAAACCCAACCATCCTCCGATCAAACCAATGACAATAATTCTATGTTATGAAAAGGTTTGTACCGATATTTTTAGGGTGTGTTTGTTTGGGGGATTGGACTTTTTTGCCACTATTCATCCAATTTTTTATCCCAAAAAACATCAAACCAAACACCTATTTTTTATTTTTTATATTATACCAAAAATTAATTTTACATTCAAAATATTACATCAACACCTATTTATATCACATCATACAACCGTTCAAATTCAAAATTTTTACTATTCAAATCTCAATTCAAAATCCAAACCCCCAAACATCGTACATCAATACCTATTTATATCAAATCATATCGAATTATCAGTATGGTATTGTATATATCTTTGTTATTTCGAATTTTTGGTATGATATTGATATGCTTTTTAGTATACATAAAAATTAGATATTGTATACGGTATTGCTCGACATTTTCAGTCTAACGTATCAAATAATTCATATTTGCAATTATATCAAATTAGAATTAACAAAAATAAGTACGACCTGAAACAACTCAAACATGATTAAAAAAACTTCAGTCGGGCAGGGCTATCTGAAATTTTTTAAAACTAAAAATAATTTTTATTTTAATTTTAATATTTTAAATAATATATTCCATAGTTAATACTCCCTATGTTTCAGAATTATAGTTTGAGTTGTGTTTGACATATAAAAAGTAGTGACAATAGTGTAATAATAATAATAAAAAAAAAGTATGAGTAATTTTATAGTGATATGGTTATTTATGGAAGTGAGACTATTGTATTGGGACGGAGGGAGTATATACTTATTGTGTGTTGACTGGAACTTTAAATTTTGAATAGTAAAATTTTTTTATTAGAATTATTTTGATGTTATATTTTAAATGTAAAATTTATTTTCAATAGATAACGATGTAATATTTTAAATGTAAAATTAATTTTTAATACAATATAAAAAATAAAAAAAATGAGATTTTGATTTATTATTTTAGAAAAAAAAATGGCAAATAGCAAAAACTTTTAGGAAAAATCCAACCAAACACAAATTTTTTAAATCTATATATTAAGTAATTACACCAATAATTTGTTATAAATCATTTTAATGTTAATTTATATTTTAAAATTTTTTAATATTGTTACAAATAAATACATTAATCATTTTTTAAATACAAAAACTATTTGAATTAATTAATACTTAGTATTTATTTTATTCATAAAGTATTTAAAAAATAAAAATATTACACACTTACAAATATTATATTAAGTAAACTCAAAATAATTAATTTTTTAATACATATTGACGTAATTTGCGGGTAACGGTTGAGTATATAAATCCTCCCATTTGTCCGGCTCTAAGGGTCTGATTTACTTTTGCGTCATTGTATTTAATATTAAAAATATTTTTATAGAGTTGTATAATTTTTTATCCAAATATCATTATAACAGTATTATAAGATACTAATAAAAATATTTTTGATATTTTTCTTTAATTGTTATTATATTTTTATATAATAATTAATATTTAAATATCAACATTCAAAAAATAAATAGAATCGTGGAGCCGAGGTATAATAATAATAATAATAATAATAATAAAATAAAACACTTGATATGTGAGGGCTTTTTACTTTTTAGGTTAGGATGAGCATTAGAAAATCGTGCATGGTGGCTTCACGTGGTTGGTGGGTAGGTGCAACATCTATCAATATGCATCTAGAAACTCATCTATATTTCTCAAGTCAATCCAAGTCTTTGTAAATTATATGACGTAGAGCTTAAAACAGTGACACGATACCACGACTCGATATTAATTCAATATGAAATATTATATTAGGGTCAAGAATTTCAATTCAATTATGTATAAATTAGACACAGATTCCACGCGATAATAAACGGGTCGAGCTAAGGTTGAAGTTTTCAACTCGAACCCAATACAACAATCTGATTATAATATATTCCCTCCGTCCCACATACCCTACACTGTAGACACGGTATTTTAGGAGGGGTGTAATTAGTAGATAATTAAAAATGTATTAGTGAAAATAATTATCCTATAAGATAAATAATTATAAATTAAGATTAAGATAACTAATTAGTTTAATTAAAATTTTAAAAAAAAAATTAAAAAATTTAAAATGAGATTAAAGTGTGTAATCATTTTCCAAAAAAAGAAAGTGACATGGTACGTGGGACGGACAGAAACGGCAACATGGACATGGTATGTGGGACGGAGGGAGTATTAATATTAATAATACTCCATCCGTCCCATAACTAGGTATCGTTTATTTTTTGTATGTAGGTTTAGAAATATTAATATTATATTGGGACGTAGTAGGAATAAGGTATAAATTATTAAAATAATTTTATTAGTATGGTGTGATATAAAGGTAATGGTATTTGTGCAATATATTGTAAATTGTAAGGGTATTTGTAATGTTAGGGAGATAGTACAATTACTAAAAAAGAAAATTGATATTTTGTTATGAGACGAACTAAAATGAAAAAATAAATATTTTATTATGGGACGGAGGGAATATATTTATTTTATATGTAAAATCATTATAATTTGATAATTAGCCCACATATTAAATTAAACTAAGGATGCGTTTGATACCGAGAATGAAAATGTAGAGAAATTATAATAGAGAATGGAATCGTAGAACAAATAGAATTTAGTAAAGAATTAGAATTGATTCTTTTGCTTGGTAAAACAGATAATTCAAGTTGAGCAATGTTAAAAGAAACAACACATAAAAATAATACGCTATATTGTTAATTGAAAAAAAAATATATTTTTCAACTCTCAATTCTTTGTCTCAACCAAATAAAAGAAATGTGATATTTCTATTTTTTTTGGTCTCTATTTCTCTGTACCAAACAACCCCAAATTCAATTTTAAATCATTCTAACCTAATTCACTATAAAAATTATATAACAACCAATAAAAAATAACATAACACGAAAATCCGACAAAAAATAATTGAATTTGAATCAAAGATTTCAATATAATTATGTATATGAGCAACACG